GGGGGGGCGACGGAGGTGCTGCTGCTGCGCAATTGACAGCTGAGGGCTCGAAGACCGAAGCCCTGCTTTCGCCGGTGCGGGCGCGTAAGGAACCTCCCGGGCTGCAAAGTTGCTGCCGCCGAGTCAGAGGAGAGGGTCGGAGGGCGGGATCCGCCGCTTCTTGCTGGCGAAGCAAGGGTCCCCCCTACCTCCACACGCGCGCGCGCGCACACAGCCCTTCCCTCAAGTGGCGCGAGGATTCCGTTTGTTTCCCCTCCGGGCCGGGCCTCCCCCTGCTTCGTGCCTCTCTGCTGGGCCGGTTCTCTGCCCGCTGCCCGGCGCGACTAAGGAGGGAGGCGGTTGCTACTGCTGGGAACTGGCAGGGATGGGGAGGTAAGAGGCTCCCTCCTCCGCAGCCCGGCTCAGCGTAACCCTCGCCTGCCCAGCACTTGCACCACGCAGCCGCCGCTTCACCCTGGGCCGAGTTCTGACACGGCTCTCGTTTTCCCGTCTGGGCAAGTCCAAAGTGTTGCCGTCCAGTCAGCATGGTGGACCGTGCGTCATCTCGAGCGCCCGTGTCCCAAAAGCGGGCTGGCCGCCTATCATACGCAAGAAGCACGCAATCCTGGCGAAACAAGCCGAAAGCAGGTGCCTGCAGAGAAAGCAAACCGCTCCCGCCGACTCAAGCAAGAAAAAAGAGACAGAAATGTTACGAAAGGTGGCCACCCACTGAAGCTGTTAGACATTTTTACGTGAAGTGCGCAGGATAGGAACCATTTAGGGCATAGTGGAGCAACGGGGGAAAGGCTTCTGTACTGATCCCCCAAGTGGTGAGAAAGAAACTTCAGGGCAATATCAAAGCATGGGAAAATGGGTTCACCATTCTTGCCAGTACTGATTTGCCCCACTGAAGTATTTTGTGACCAAACAAGCCAAGAGATTGGTTTTAGACGGGTCTGGGTAAAAGTCGGATCTAAATGGATCCTCATGAATTCATATGATTTTTACACTGAAACGAAATAAAACCACCATCATATTGTAGGCCATGTGTTAGTCTACAAGGGGCACCACAGCACCCACAGATTGTGGCACCACAGCAGCACAAAAACATGATTCCAAAGGACGGATCCTCATGAGTTCATATGATTTCGCTGGAATGAAATAAAACCTACATCATGCTGTAGACCATGTCTTAGACTATAGGCAGCACTCCAAAAACCATGCCCCCATGAATTCGTGGCACCACAAAACTGCAAAAACATGGTTCCAAAGCACGGATCCTCATGAATCCTCAAGGTTTTTCAATTGAGTCGCCCAAAACACACCATCAAATCACATTACATGTCCACGGTCACAGCTCGCACCACAAAAATCACAGATCCACAGCTTTGTGGTGACACCATTCTGTACAAACATGATTCTGAAGCACGGATCCTCATGGATGCTTGGGTTTTTTGTGTTGGGACACCCCAAACATACCATTAGATCCCATATCATGTTCATGGCCACAGCCTGCTTCACAGAAATCACGGTGCCACGGCTCTGTGGCAACACCATGCTGCAAAAACATGGTTCTGAAGCATGGATCCTTGTGATTTTTGCATTGTGTCACCCCAACATCACCATCAAATAATATGCCTTGTCCATGGCCACAGAATGCACCACAGAAATCATATGTTCACAGCTCTGTGGCGACACCATTCTACAAAAACATGGTTCCAAAGCACAGATCCTCGTGGATCCTTGGGGTTTTTCAACTGGTTCACGCGAAACACACCATCAATTCACATAACATGTCTACAGCCACAGCTTGCACCACAAAAATCATGGATCCACGCCTTTGTGGTGACACCATTCTGTAAAAACATGATTCTGAAGCACGGATCCTCATGGATGTTTGGGTTCTTTGTGTTGGGACACCCCAAACATACCATTAGATCCCATATCATGTTCATGGCCACAGCCTGCTTCACAGAAATCACGGTGCCACGGCTCTGTGGCAACACCATGCTGCAAAAACATGGTTTTGAAGCAGGGATCCCCATGGACCTTATGATTTTTGCATTGTGTCACCCCAACATCACCATTAAATAATATGCCTTGTCCATGGCCACAGAATGCACCACAGAAATCATATGTCCACTGCTCCATGGTGACACCATTCTACAAAAACATGGTTCCAAAGCACGTATCCTCGTGGATTCTCAGGGTTTTTCAATTGGGTCACCCCAAACACACCATGAAATCACATAACACATCCACAGTCACAACTTGCACCACAAAAATCACAGATCCACAGCTTTGTGGTGAATCCATTCTGCAAAAACATGATTCTAAAGCACGAATCCTTATGGATCCTTGGGGATTTTTTATCGGGACATCCCAAACATACCATTAAATCCCATATCATGTCCATGGCCGCAGCCTGCACCATAGAATTCATGTTGCCACAGCTTTGTGGCAACACAATGCTGCAAAAACATGATTCCAAAGCACGGATCTTCATGGATCCTTAAGGTTTTTGTGTTGGGTCACCCCAAAATCACAATTAAATTACATACCTTGCCCATGGCCACAGAATGCACCACAGAAATCACATGTCCATGGTGACACCATGAAGCCAAAATATGGTTCTGGAGCATGGATCCTCATGAATGCTTTGGGATTTTGTGTTGGGACACCCCAAAGATATCATTAAATCCTATACCATGACCATGGCCACTACGTACACCACAGTATTCATGTGTCCCAGGCTTCGTGGCAACACCATGTGCAAAAACACAGTTCTGAAGCAAGGATCCTCATGGATCCTCAGTGTTTCTGTGTTGGGTCACCATGTACTCACCATCACATCACATATCATGTCCATGGGCACAACTTGCACCACAAAAGACATGGATCCATGGCTTCGTGGCAACACCATGAAGCCAAAACATGGTTCTGGAGCATGGGTCCTCATGTATTCTTGGGGGTTTTGTGTTGGAACACCTAAACATGCCATTAAATCCCATATCATGTCCATGGCCACTACCTGCTCCACAGAATTCATGGATCCACGGCTTCGTGGCAACATGCTGCAAAAATATCGTACCAAAGCACGATTCCCATGGATCCTCAAGGCTTTTGCGTTGGGTCACCATGAACACACCAACAAATCCCATCTGATGTCCATGGGCACAGGCTGCACCACAAAAGTAGTGGATCCACTGCTTCGTGGCAACACCATGAAGCCAAAACATGGTTCTGAAGCACGGATCCTCAGGGATCCTCTAGGTTTTTGCAATGGGGCACCCCAAACACACCATCTAATCACATTACATGTCTATGGCAACAGCTCAAAACACAAAAATCATGGATCCACAGCTTTGTGGCAACACCATTCTCCAAAAACGTGGTTCTGGAGCATGGATCCTCAGGGTTTTTCAGTTGTGTCACCCCAAAATCACCATCAAATCACATATGTCCACGAGCACAGCTTGAACCACAGAAATCATGGTTCAACAGCTATGTGGCAAAACCATTAAGCCAAAACATTGTTCTGAAGCATGGATCCTCATGGACCCTCAAGGTTTTTGAAATGGGGCACCCCAAAAACACCATCTAATCACATAACATGTCTATGGCACCTGCTAGAACCACAAAAATCACAGATCCACAGCATCGTGGCAACAACATTCTGGAAAAATGTGGTTCTGGAGCACATCATGGATCCTCAGTGTTTTTGCATTGGGTCACCATGAACTCACCATCAGATCACATATCATGCTCACGGGCACAGCCTGAACCACAGAAATCATGGATCCACAGCTTTGTGGGAACACCATCAACAAAAACATGATTCTGAAGCATGGATCCCCATGGATCCTCAGTGTTTTTGCATTAGGACACCCCAAACACACCCTCTAATCCCATAACATGTCCATGGCAACAGCTCGAACCACAAAAATTACATATCCACAGCTTCGTGGCAACGTCATTTTGGAAAAACGTGGTTCTGGAGCACGGATGTTCATGGATCCTCATGGTTTCTGCATTGGGTCACCCCAAAATCACCATCAAATCACATATCATGTCCACGGGCACAGCTTGAACCACAGAAATCATGGATCCACAGCTTCGTGGCAAAACCATGCTGCAAAAACATGGTTCTGAAGCACGGATCCTCACGGATCCTCTAGGTTTTTGCAATGGGGCACCCCAAACACACCATCTAATCACATAACATCTCTATGGCGACAGCTCAAACCACAAAAATCACAGATCCACAGCTTCGTGGCAACACCATTCTGCAAAAACATGGTTCTGGAGCATATATCCTCATGGATCCTCAGGGTTTTTCCTGTTGGGTCACCCCAAATATACCATTAAATCCCATATCATGTCCATGGCCACTACTTGCACCAGAGAATTCATGGATCCACGTTTTTGTGGCAACACCATCTTTGAAAAACATGGTTTTGAAGCACGGATCCTCGGGGATCCTCAAGGTTTTTGCAATGGGGCACCCCAAACACACCATCTAATCACATTACATGTCCATGCCAACTGCTAGAACTACAGAACTCATGGATCCACAGCTTCGTGGCAACACCATTCTGCAAAAATGTGGTTCTGGAGCATAGATCCTCATGGATCTTCAGGGTTTTTCAGTTGGGTCACCCCAACATCACCATCAAACCACATATCATGTTCATGGCCACTACCTCCACCGGAGAATTCCTGGATCCACGGCTTCAGGGCAACACCATGCTGCAAAAACATGGTTCCAAAGCATGGATTCTCCGGATTTTGCTTTGAGTCACCCCAACATCAGCATCAGATCACATATCATGTCCATGGGCAGAGCCTGCACCACCGACGTTGTGGATCCACAGCCTCATGGTGA